AGGGGGGGGGGGAGCAACTGTACTTTTTGTCCTAGGCCCATGCTTGGGGGTGGTGGGAGTGTCTGGACTGAATAATGGAAGGGGGTCTGATGGAATGATGACGACTATAAAATCCAGAATGCAAAAACAAAACACAATCTCAATGTGATTTCCCATCTGGGCTACAGGAACATAACATTACTATGACTATGACTATGGCTATGTCAAAATCTACTAATTTAAACACAGGGATAATAAATTTTACTATTAATATTTTGAACGGCAATGTTAAAAAATTAAATACATTTAAAGGGATAGTTCACCCAAAAATGAAAATTCTGTAATTAATTACTCACCCTCACACCGTTCCAAACCCGTAAGACCTTCGTTCATTTTCAGAACACAAATTAAGAAATTTTTGATAAAATTCGAGGCCCTGCATCCAAGATCTTTTTGACCCTGCCTAGACAGCAACTCAACTGAAACAATCAAAGCCCAAAAAGGTATTAAGGACATCGTTAAAATATTTAATGTGACAGCAGTGGTTCAACTGTAATTTTATGAAGTTACAAGAACAGTTTTTGTGCGCAAAGAAAACAAACATAGCGACTTTATTCAACAATGCATTGTGGTACTCTCGTGAATGTGCATCAAAGACTGACAGGGAAGCGAAGAAATTGTTAAATTAAGTTGTTAGTTTTGTTTTCTTTGCGCACAAAAAGTATTACTCATAGCTCCATAACATTACAGTTGAACCACTGATGTCACATGGACTATTTTAACGATGTCCTTACAACCTTTCTGGGCCTTGAATGTGTCAGTTGCATAGCTGTCTATGGAGGGTCAGAAAGCTCTCGGATTTCATCAAAAATATCTTAATTTGTCTTCTGAAGATGAATGAAGGTCTTACGGGTTTGGAACGACATGACGGTGAGTAATTAATGACCGAGTTTTCATTTTTGGGTGAACTAACCCTTTAAGGTTCAAAGTCACACTGCGAAATATCAAGTCATAATGAGCTTTTACTTTTTTATTTCTTGTCTTTTCAACTCTGAAGCAGAAAAGAACTTACATATTCACAAGACCTAAGACTGGTTGCCTATAATTGACAATGTCATTATGACATTAAACAAAGAAAACCATATAAAATTGGTCCAAAAAAGTACTGGTTATTATAATATAGCATGATGTTTGGGCAAAATTAAAAAAACAGAATTCTGCTGTAAAAACAGTGGCACATGTTGGTGAAATGTTTAAAAAACTTTGATCCATAACTTGTGGAACAAGATACTACTGAACAACAGTGTCTGCCAGAGGCCCGTATAAATGATTCATCACAAAGGAAGAGAAAAGGCTGGAGAAAACAATGACCATAATCCTCTTCATCTGTCGGTGCCTGAGCTTTTGATCCAAGTGACTCTGTACAGGGACAGGCACGGCAACTCTGGCTCTCATCACCGCATTGGCAGTACAAGTACAGGTCAGGATGACAGCTGGACTTGATTTGGCATTATTTACGGCAACAGTCAGGGCTTTGCTAAATCCACTGCTTTCAAAGACAATATGAAATCAAATTGGACCCTGTTTACGTCATAACTTAATTTTAATAAATGCCCTGGTCTTACGGTGCACAATTAATAAGTGAATGTCTAAGTGAATCTGTAAACTGTGGAAAAGGAAATAAACGTACATTTAAATAAAAAATACATAAGATCACAGTATACATTTAAATGCATTGAAATGTCCAAATCTAAACTACTGTATTATTGATAAAAAAAGAGCTTTAAAGGGATAGTTCACCCAAAAATGAAAATTCTGTCATTAATTACTCACCCTCATGTCGTTTCAAACCCATAACCCATAACGTTTCTGTGCATTGATCATGGTAAAATCCTTGCTGTCTATGGAGGGTCAGAGAGCTCTCAGATTTCATCAAAAACATCTTAATTTGCATTCCGAAGATGAACAAAGGTCTTACGGGTTTGGAACAACATGAGGGTGAGTAATTAATGACAGAATTTTCATTTTTGGGTGAACTAATCCTTCAAGAAAAATACCATCATTAAACCGAGACTAAAAGTTCGCTTACGCTTTATAACCACATTATAGTAACATTCATAGCAAGTTTTCATGTTTTAAATTTTGCACTTGCAGGCAGTCTCAAGGCACGCATGAAGCTGTGATTCAAACCTCTGCACACATGACCAGAGGATATGACTGCATAAAGTGTGTCTCTCGGTAATACAAACTGTCATTTCTGTGTCAGCAGTGAGCTGACCCCTGCGACACAGTCTGATAGCACACACTATGCCGGGGCCGACCCTATCTACTCGACAGTGCAGATGGGGGCCAAAATCCATTACAACATTACAACACCATAAAATGAGGCATGTGTATAAACGAATCCAAAAGGCTCTCTCGTTGGCGAGTGACGTGTCGTTGCGAGAACGAAATCACGTTGTTTGCGGGTTATTGATTCTCAGGGAGGCAGAACGGGTGAATGATGAGGCCGCTAATAGAAGCGCTATAGTTCAGAGTGAATGGCAGCTCAGTCGCTAGATGTTGACTGCATTAAGATACATGTCGGGCTGTGCTGGGAACAGGGGGCTATTGTGAAGGAGGGGCAGCTGGTCGGAGGAAACTGGGATGGCTTTGTGGACAAGTCTCAAACATCTCATACGCTGGGATAATGGCAGCTCACCAGCACATACTACGTGGATAGAATCACAGAATCCTGTTCTAAAAATGAAATTTGCAGTATAACGCGTAACATCATGGAGGGCTGTAAAGTAAAGCGAACTGCAATATGGATTTGGGTCTGTGTGAATGAGTGGTTTGTCTACAACACACACACGCATGTGAAACATAACACAGAGTTTATGAAAAAAAACAATTTCATAGAGCTATATTATTGTAAAATATGTTATTTAATTAAATTGATGTTATTAAATGAAATTTAAATAAAATCTATGAATTTAACTGAATAGACATGATTATTAAAATTTAATTAAATCACTCAAATGGAATCCAGAAAAATTAAAACAGAAAACACTTTAGGAAGAACAAAACAGAATTTGGAAGAAAAAAAAATGATTTTTTTGTGCCCTAAAAATGTAATTTCTGTAACTCTTTTTATAAATTGCGTTTAAACTGTATAAGTTTCATGAATCCAATTAATTAGACAGGCTTTTTGATTATTAAAATTTAATTAAACCCCTAAAAAGGAATACAGAAAAATTAAAATAGAAAACACTAATTTTGGGTAGAATAAAACAGAATTAGGAAAAAATAAAGCAGATTTCATAGGGTCATAAAAATACAATTTCTGTTAATCTTTTATTAAACTGTTGTTAATTGTACACTGTATGTTTCATGATTTCAATTAATTATACAAGCTTTTTGATTATTAAAATTGAATAAAATCAATAAAACCAGAAAAATCAAGAAAAAAATTAAATGGAAAAGAGTGAATTTGGGGGGGAATGAGAATGATTTCATAGAGCCCTAGAAATTTAATTTTTGTTCAACTTTTAATAAATTGTTGCTAAATTGTCATGATTTTAAATAATCAAACATGTTTTTCGATTACAAAAATTTTATTTAGTGGGAAAAAAGCTGATTTTACAGGGCCCTATTTACTGGTCCATAATAAGAAATTGTCTAACTGCATTTGTACATTTTTGGTAGAAAAAAGTCTTCTTTCAATGCAAATCTATTTTTCCCCCCAATTTGTTTCACCTCTGATCACTTAAAACCAGACAATACTGTACAAAACTACCCACACTCAGAAAAAGCAGAACTATTCTTACAAATCCAGAATATGCACTAAACATTGTATTGAAACGATCTGCTATCAAAGATTTCATTACATGCTCCATAAAGACTATAATCTATTTAAGCAGGTTTGTGAAGACTATATAATCAATCCCACAAGCCGTTTGAAATAGAAGGTAGAAAAAATTATATTAATATGAAATGCTGGACGCAGCTCAGTGATCATCTAAATGGCTGAAAGGAGGCTTCTTGGCACGAGACATTCAGGATATTTCATGCTCGGTTACAATCTTGTAATCAAACAATTTACTTCAGCCTAAGGGTCCACGTGCCTCAGCTGATAGTACAATGACTTAACATTGTGCTTTCACATGCCTCTTTAATGTGTAAGTAATTAAACACATAGTAGGTTGTTTGTGAAAATATGGTGTAAAGGTCTGATGATTGAATGTGTCAGACTTTTTTCGGTTTCATAAAAGTAGCATGCAGAACAAATCACTAGGGAACAGTAATTTGAAAAAGAAATGTATGCATTTTATTCTAATAAAAATAACAAATATTTTGGTAATATGTACCATTTATTTTCAATAATGTCATCAAAATCTTAATTTCTTGTCTGTATATAACATTTTTTGTCAGATCCAGCCAGCGTCTACTTTTGGGGGGAGGAACAAAGGCTTTTTAAGCCCTGACTCAAGAGAATAGCACCTTTGGTACATCCCTCATGCATCAGCGAAGTAAAGGTTGCGAAAATGTCAGTTTCACGCTCTCGGAAACACCACACGGGTTGCATTTTCATTGATCCACAGCAAGGACAATGCACACTCAAGAGAGTGTTAAAAAACGTATGGTCAGACACCATTATAGACAGGGTGGAAAGAATAGGATTATGTTTTGATGTGAAAAAGCATTAGACAAGTTAAATGAACCTGACTGATGGGAAACACCGAATTAAAAAACAGAACTAAAATAATTTTCTAAATTATTTATTAATAAAATTAAAATTCATTAAAATATGCAATTAATTAATTACAATTGCGAAATAATCACACATATTAGTAATTTGTTGGAAAAATACACATGCTGAAAAAAAAAACAAAAAAAAAAAACCACATGCTAGGCCAGAGTGGACATTTTTTTATTTCAGCTTACAAATAGAGAAACTGTGGCTAATTTACTCACAAATATTGCATTAACTACCCACGGCACAGTAACCAACCATTAATAACACGGACATCATATATATAGTGTTAATGGCCAGATCTCTGCATGGTGTTTTTATTTTTATTAATAGCGCCACAACTGTTATATTGACATGACCTGCAGTGGAAAATACTTGAAATTAAATTAATGAATAAATTATACTCTCTCCGCGCCCCATAACCCTGAAGGCAGTACGGTGTTCGGTTCAAGGAAAGACAGGAGCGGTTGCGGGAGGAACTGTAGGATTTACGTTATCTGGCAAAGTCTTTCCTCTCGTTCTTCCTTTTCTGTTTTCTCATTCATTCTTTGCCTTCATCCCACACTCCATTCGACACTCTCTTGCAGTGCTGAGGTATTTTATGGCGCCCGTTCACCATCATTCTCATAGCCTGGCATTGATTATTGTGCTGTATTTCAGGAGTTGCTCCTAAAGCAATGATTATTGGCTTGCACATAAAGAAAAACCCAAGTTAACCTAAAAATACCTCTATCAGGACACAAAAGAAGCGGTTGAAGCGGTATTAAAATCAAACCTGAAGCCATGGGGGCTTTTGTGCAGGGTTGCATGTGTTGCAGGGTTATGGCTGGGGGGGTGGGGGGTCTTCAACCACTGACCAAACAATAAATTGATTGTGGCAGGTCAGAACGAGGGCATGCAAGGATGTTCTGGTTTATCCTTACCTCCAGTTTACCTATCATTACACTCCCTGAAAGTTATTTGGTCTTTTACCATACATTTTAGCCGATTCGGAAACAAATCCAAGGAAAGCCGAGGGTTGTAAGTAGAGCTGCTGGCCCGCTTGGTAAGTTACTAATGCGTTACTTTACTAGTTACTTGGAAAAAAGCAATCTGATTAAGTAATGTGCATTACTTGTAATGCGAGTTACGTAATCAGATTACTTTTTACCCCAACACTGTTTGATATAATTATTTTAATAATATCATAAAATAATCATTATAATCTATATCAGGTTGCTCAGTTGCTCTATTTATAAACATACACTTCATATACTTTTTAATTATTATATTATTTATAATTTATGATCAATTATAATTTATATAACTAAATATATTTCTGTGGCAATAATATATTTTTAATAATATCTATTTATTCATATATTTATGCATGTATATTTATAAAATATGCATAAAACAAATATATTCCAAAAATATACCAAATATTCTAAAATATCCTCACCCAAAATATTAATCATATAAATTAAAAACATAAATCAGTGGTGTGCAAAGTGGTTAGTCAATGTATATTAAGTGTTCTATTAATCTTCATTATCACATAAAATATCCATAAATGAAAAATAACCTAACAAATAAATAAAATGTTTGACTGATGAATTGCTTTTAAACTCTAAAACATCAGGTTTATTTTAAAAGTGGAAATTAACAATCATCAAAGCTAAAATGTGGATCACTGAAATAATTTCTTGCCAAATTAGTGGCTGAATACCACAATCTGACCCACGTTTCTGAGTCAACAGTTGGTAGTTCAGTGTGGGAATGTTCCAGTCACTGACCACGCTTGGCGTGAGAACCAGTCTGACCGCAAGAACAACATGAAAGAAATAGCCTTTCAAACATGTAAAAAAGCTGTACCTTGCAAAAACTGCACAGTCCTATTCCAGATAATCAGCCGTCGTAGATCTGTAGCTGTGCTGGAATCGCTTGAATTTGCTGTGACACTGCTTTTTGAATAAGCAATTAGATGCATTCTCATCACTGCTAAAAACATTCGACTAACTCCATTTCCACGAGTTCACGAGGTCAAACGAACATCTGAGCGAAGCATCAATATGGGTAGAAAATATGTTTAGTAAATAAACAGCCTGCTCTACAACAAAGGTTCATCCCGCTGACAAATGGAAACTAGTAAGTAAAGATCATCAATTTTACCCTTGAAAACGCACACAGAGTTTTTCTGTTCTTCAGACCGCTGCCTTTCCTCACTCAAAACGCTTTGAAAGACCAAAGCAGGTCCAAAGCAATTTTAAACCTCACTTCAAAACCACACAAACTAGGCTTGCCGCGATGGACGTTGCTGACGGTGATACCGGTGTTAAGCCGCAACTTGCCCACCGCGTCACCGACCCCCACCGTCGTTTTAATTTTTTTTATAGTAATAAAAATCATTTAGTTCAGTAAAAGAACAGACGCTACAATTAAAAACTGAACGCGGCTGTTCAATGCAGCGTGCCGAATGACAGTCGTATCACAGATCAGATTTCATTTATCCAGTGAGGAGAGTGAGTCGAGCTGACTGACAAGAAGAGTGAGGTGAGACAGACAAGACGATTGCGGATGATTTAGTTTCGTAACGAAATGCAAAAGCGCCTGTTTGGCAATATTTTGGATTTTTAAAAGCCTGTTGACTTTTGCCGTTTATTTGATTTTGGACATTTTTTTAAAACATTCGTTTCTTATTTAATTGGTTCCACATTGTTTTATTTTACTTTATTTAAACTTTGTGTCATTTATTTATTTTATTTGACATCAAGGTGTATGCCGTGCCTCCAAGCTTTCTTACTCATTTTGCTAATAAACGTTCTACTTTCTTATTTATTTGGTTATATATTATACATGTTTACTTATTTCCAGTTTTGTATACCTATTTAAACTTTATGTAAGTTATTTGTTATTTTATATTAGGCATAGCCTGCCCTATAGCATGGTGTATTTTTATTTGTTTTGTTAATAAAAGTTCTATGTTTTATATATACGCTAAAGTGAGTTTGACGTTGTATTTTGTTGTTGCATTCAAGCAATTGACGCCGAATTGCCGCTAATTCGAAAAAGCGAAGGAAAGCCAGGAAAAGAGGGAATGCCCACGCCCCCGCACCTGCGGTGATACCGGTGTTGTCACACGTCGATTGACCGGTGGGAAAATTTCCTCACCGTCACAACCCTAACACAAACTCCCTTGGTACATCTGTTGAGTGTATTTACTAAATTGCAATGAACAAACAAGAAAAAGACCCATAAATGTGGATGCTACATTGTTGAGAAACGTATGCCTGCTAGTTAGCAAAAAATGGGATAGAATGTGACTTTTGCGAAAACAAAAACCAGTGGTAACGGTTGTCATCTCTTACCTTGGTGATTAGGATGCGGTATTGCTCCAGCAGAGGCTGATCGTTGTGGGAGTCAGACAGGAGCTGCCAGACTTCAGCTCGTAAGGCCTCCGGGATCCCAGGCTTCACCAGAGCAGACAGACCCTTGGGTCGCGCCAACAGGTTTCCTTGCCTGACAGGTGGAAGACAGACGGCGTCATTGCAGCACAACAGAGCTGGTATTTTGCAGTCATGTTCAATATGGATTGCGCTCCAAATCTGGTCATACTCTCATGTCGTGCCAAAAGTCTCACCATCTGTTGAGGATCCCTCCCCAGGATTCCAAAATCTTCTCGGGACAGTCCTTCGACACATCTCCTGTCCCACTAGAGATCTCACTGTCGCTATCTGTACAGCGGGGGACAAAGATAAATGTTTGTTAATGCTGTTATTGGTGAAAAACGTGTCATGACGATAATTCATTTAAAACAAATATCGAGAAAAAAAATAACAGCACAAAATATTAGCAATGCATTAAGAATGTAGTACAATCTAAAAAAGAAATTGACTCTTTCATATAATCCATTCATAGTCAATAATATAAGAGAAATTAGATCAAATTTAGCTGAAGTGGTAAACTATAAAGTGCTTTGTTAGCAGGTTAATGAACTCACATAAAACACATCCTATACATACAAGATTAACCAGATTAGAAAACATAAATATAATATTGCGTAATACATCTGCACAAAATGGTGCAAATGCTTAAACGTAAAGTTACACGCTTGTCAGAATGTGTAAGTTGTCATGTGAAAAAGCTCTTTTCATAAAAACATGCTAAAACATGGACACTGAACGAAAGCATAAAGAAATTATAATAGCGTTTTATAATTAGGGGTCGACTGATTATTGCCGCCGATATTAAGCATTTTTATGGTTATCGGTATCGGTCATTTCCAAAACCGATTTGCCGATAAAATAATTTAAAAGCATTTAAAGAACGTTTTTGTCCCTTCTTACTCTTAATTTTAATGATAATTTTCATTTTTACACCAGACATAAATATCGGTTCAAAATATTGGTTATCGGCCTACTTGATCTGTAATAATCGGTATCTGCATCAACACATATCGGCCGACCACTAATTATAATACCAAACTTGTTTTTGTTCAATTATATGTTTAAATGATCAAATATACAGTTTTGCTTTCCACTTTCCCATCAACTCAAATATTATTTTCAGATGCCATTTACTAAATATATTACTAAACAAATATTTTTGTCCAAAGACAAGAACAATGACTACAGGTTATTGTTTGAACGAAATCTTCATGATATTTTGCAAGCAAAAAAAAAGTCAATTATTGTCAACAGTGTAGCGATGTATGAAGCACCGTCATTTTCAAACCAAGCGGGCTTATGTTGGACAACATGGCGAATTCACATAACCAACTTGAAGCAATTGCAAAATCTGCATGGGGAAATCTTCCGTCGTCATGAATTTTGCAAAAAAAACTGTTTTTGTGTATTCCTATTAAAATGACTGAATTTTTATTGTAAATGTGACCACATCTTAAAAAAAAACTGGCAAAATGACTACAGCTATTGAGAGCAATACTTTCCCGAAATTTCACAGACAAATTCTTGTCAATAGTGTAGCAATGTATAAAGCAAATGCCCGAAAAAAATCGCTTGACCACCTTGAACCTGTTGCGAAATCTATGTTGGCAAATCTTTTTCCCAACCTTGTTTATTCCTATTAAAATAAATGGATATGCCCATGAACAACAGTAAATGTAACTGCAAATTAAAACAAACACAACTGTAAAAATAACACTGGCTCTATCAATTATGGCCATATGGTGGGCATTCTGCCACACTACCGCTGCTGTCACGCTTTGAGAGCAATATTTAAACATAACAAATCACGCGTTATTTGTTTTCCGTGCCTTTCTGAATACAGACGCCAACCCATCCCTGCACATCACATCCCCTACACAGCCTGGAACATAACATTTATTTCCATGATCTGCCGTTTTCACTATTATCCTCGCTTGTTTCTTCACAATACCTGCAGAGATTCTGATGATTCGGCTGTGCAGGTTTGGCTGGCGGCTGGCATTGAACATGAGCGGGTATATGCAAATGTTGGGGGTGTGACTATTAGTGATCCCGACTGTAACGTCATTCGGTGTTATGTTCTGATTCGCCTATTTTTCAGTGGTCTTTTGCATGCTCGAGATTTACATAAGGAGGAGGAAACAATGGTGTTTGAGGCTTACGGTATGTCATTTTCACGTACAGAACTGTTATTATTCAACTATGCCAAGGTAAATACAGTTTTCCATTCTATGGCACCTTTAAGATCAAAGTGACGCAATCAGATCCCACTTTAAGCTCAAGTCATATCCCTCCGGTGAGAGTCTACGCCCTGAGTCTCAAAGTGCATCCTGTCCTGTCGTCGCTGACTGCAAATGCGTGTACGTTGTGGGCAAACATCACTCCTACAACTCCCTGCAGGGCAGCACTTCAGATGACTCCATTCAGGCATGTTAGGATGCTGCACGACTCCTTTAAAACACAGCGTTCAGGTGAAATGACAGAATCGTCCTTGCAGCATCCAGAAGACTGAGGTGAGTTATGCGGCGGACGCACCTGCATTAGTCCGGGCCGCGGAGTGCCAAGATTACGGTCACGCCTTGAGGTGATAAAGAAAATGTCTTGGACTTAATGTCTGCAAAGGTCATTAAGAGCCGACCAGCAGACTCTCTGCCCTCCAAGCCCATATCTCAAGGTCTGCGGCCACAACATGTCTGCCGTAAAGATGTTTGGAGGGAATGAACGGCAATGCATTTGGTGGCTTCAACTATGTAAGTCTGAAAAAGCCAGTAATTGTAATTACGGCAAGAAGAAGCAAGATTTTAAAGTAATGATCTTTAAATAATAAACAGAACAGAAACAGAGGGAATTAATTTATGGGTCACCAAACTGAAAACTGCTTTTTGAGCCCATTTACAATGTTCGTGACCTCCAGCGAGCGCCTCAAATGGCGTACATTTTTCAATCCCCGATGTGAGGTCTGGAACACAGTGGTTTCTTTTGAAACGCTTTAAAAGGGCTTCTTTTTACATTTACTGCACAAGTACCTTGGCAACGTTGCAAGGAGAGAGATTGAGATAGGGAGAGAGAGAGAGAGAGCCTTGAGCAGAGCCTCTGTCACAAGGTGACATGGCGGTTTGGTAGCAGATGTGGGCGGATGAATCTTCTTTTCCATCTGCCTCCCCAATAGATCTCAGAAACGGTGGAGAAAGCTGACAAGGGCAAACGCTTCCAAAAACAACAATGACTTTCTTGTACAGCCCAGAAATCGAGGCTTGGAACAAATTGCACAAACCAAAAGATGATATTCGATGAGAACAGCTGAATAAAAAGGAATCATTCATTCATTTAGCAGAAGGTCCACAGAGAAGTTTCACAAGACAAGTTGAGATTTATTAAATGTAGTTACTGCTGGAAAATATTTTAGTGGTAAAGAAATTAAGGATGCATGGCAATATATTGGTGAACATACCAGTCAATATTACCAATACTGCTCATACTTTGGGTTACGTATTTTAACAAACTGCCAACAAACATTGAGTTTTGCACTGACACACTGATCATAAAAAAACAACAAGATCACTAGTTTTAAATTTGCCATGGGTCAACTAACGATTAACCCCAAAATAACCTTTAATTATTTTATTTTCAGATGCTTATACTTTATTAGTATTGTTAGTTATTTTAGCATCATTGAGATACAGTTCTCATTAATATTTTGAATTATTTTGAATTTTAAATGTTTTTTATTTTTATATCATCTACTTTCATTTTAATTTTAATTAAAATTTTAGTAATTTTGTATTTGTATTAGTTAATTTTGGTAATTTGTGTGCTTTTGTCATCTTTATATACAAAGTTGTCATTCATTTTCATATCAGTTTTAGTTATTTTAATACATCAAAATACTAAATGAAAATGAAAAACTAGCTAAAATAAAATAAGTTGACTTAAAAAAAAAATTAAAAAGAAAAAAAAAACTGTGCCGATATCGACTCTGTGGATACATTTGTTCTCTTTAAATGACATAAATTTATATAACACATTCTTCAATTGATTTATGAGCTACAAAAGTTCAGGTAGTCCTATATCATTCATGTTATCAAATATGGGGCCTGACTATGAGGAAAAACTAATTGCTTAGCCTATGGAAATCTGGCCCGTATTATACGTAACAAGACTCGTATTTTATTCCAGCTCTGTTTTGCAAACATATGGAGTTCCTGTATTTATGCTTTGTAAAATGTGAACATCCGCCAAATCTGGCAACCTTTAACATCACCTAAATTATGTAAATAGCCTTGCCCTCAATTCCTTCTAGGCAGTTACATACTAGGGCTGCCACTAACGACTACTTTTATTTCGATTAATCTATCGACTAATTTATCGATTAACCGATTAATATCAACAATTAATTTCCCGCAAAAAATAAACAATTTTACTTAAGAATATTTTATTCAACTATATTTTATTAAACCAAATGAAATTCAAATTTCTATGAAATCCTTTTTTTTAAAGCAAAAGTAAAGTGCAACATAAAGTGCAAGAAGCAAGTGTCCATCTCATAGTCCAAATCACTGAAATCAAAGTTCAGTATTATAGTGTAAGAATGACAACATATCCACATGTTCTAGTTTACTAATAATAAAATTATAATCAAAAAACACTTTTTAAAGGAGTATTTACCAGAATTGTTATTTACCAGAATTTATTTAGGAGAAAAATGTAAATGTGCAGTATTTCTGAAAAAAAAAAAAAAGATGATTTTTTTTTAATAAAATTAATTGGAGATGCTTTTGATTATTAAAATTGAATGGAACCATGGAATCCAGAAAATAATGGAAAACAGAATTTGGTGAAGATAAACTGTAAAACTCAATTAATTAGACAGGCTTTTTGATTAATAAAATTTAATTTAACCATTAAAACAGAGTATAGAAAAATGAAAATGGAAAAAAAACTGAATTTGGAAATAAAACTGATATCATAGGGTCCTATAATTATATAATTAATTTTTTTGTGGTAATAAAAATAGATGTAAGTGAACAATAGCCTTTAAAATTACTTAAAATACATATATAATAACAATGAGGCAATAATAATTAGTTCAAATAAAGTATCAAAAGCAAGAAATCATATGGTTTTATTGAACAAAACTGTTAAAATACATAATGTATTATAAACAATAGAGCTAATGTACATTACGCATTACAACAAAGGC